GGGTCCAGGGCAGGAAGGCCCGGGCGTTGCTCGCTCGCCGTCTCCAATGTCGCCGCGCCCCCTAGCGGCCGTCGGTTGCCATGTCAACGGCGGGCGACTGGGGCCTGGGGAGGCGGCGGCGGGGGCCGTTCTCTCCTCCCAGGACCGGAGGCCGCTCCCTCGGCGCCTCCCGCCTTTCCCTGCGGAGGGGCACTCCGAGCCGGGGAGAGGGCTTTCCGCGGCAGCTAGCATGTGGGGGTAAACTGAGGCACGCGACAAAGCGCTCCGCAGCCAGGTGTCGAGCTCGGGGCCCCACCTCCGAAGGCGGAGGAGGGGCCGCGGGCGGTGACGCGCCGAGGGCGGCCGGCGGACAGCGGGCGGGCGGCGGCGGCGGCGGCGGCGGCGGCGGCGGCAGCGGCAGGTGCGGCCGCGGAGGGTGGGAGGGAGGAGGGAGGGGGGCGGGCGGAGGGGGAGGGGAGGGCGAGGCCAGGGCACCTCCCCCTTTATAACGCGCCCCCTCCCGGGCTCTCGGGCCGCCTCCTCGTCGGCTCTTCCCATCTCGCCCCCTTGCCCGGCCGCCCCGGGCCCGGGCCCGGCCAGGGAGACCCCAGGCCGCGGCTCGGGGGCCACCCCCCCGCTCGCCGCCCCGCGCAGCCCGGCGGAGGCGGCGCCGTCGGAGGAGGAGGAGCAGGGCACTGCGGCTGGCCCCGGATCGGGCGCCAGAGCGGCAGCGGCTCCGGCAGCAGCGGCGGCCCGGGCCGATGCAGCGGGACGCACCGCCCCGAGCCCCAGCCCCGGCGCCCCGGCTCCCCGCGCCCCCGATCGGGGCAGCCGCCAACAGTGGCGGCGGCGGAGGCGGGGGCAGCGGCGGCGGCGGCGGCGGAGGCGCCTCTGCAGCTCCGGCTGCTCCTGGCCTCCCGGGAACTACAAGTCCCAGGGGGCCTGGCGGCGGGCGGCGGGCGGAAGAGGCGGGGTCGGCGCCGCGAGGCCGGAAGTGGCCGTGGAGGCGGAAGTGGCGCGGCCGCGGAGGGGCCTGGAGCTCGGCGGCGGGACCCGGAGCGGGAGCGGCGGCGGCGGCGGCGGCGGCTGGGGGCGGCGGCGGCGGCGCGCTGGAGGCGGCCATGGCAAAGCAGTACGACTCGGTGGAGTGTCCCTTTTGTGATGAGGTGTCCAAATATGAGAAGCTCGCGAAGATCGGCCAAGGCACCTTCGGGTAAGGCTGCGCCCCCGGGGGACCAGGCGCTCTGGGCCTGCACCCCTCAAATCCGACGTCACGATGCCCAAGGCCTGGCCCGAGGTGGTCGGGAAGGCCATGAGCACCAGACGTGTCCCCTGGTTTTGCTAGGCCGCGCTGCGGCCCGCCTGGGCCTGACCGAGCCGGCTGGCGGGGAGGAGCCTGAGGCCTGTGATGGGGGGCGGGGAGGCGTTACGGAGAGGAGCCAGTGATGGGAGCGGGCGCTCCAAGAGACGCCTGAGTGAGGAGACTGAGGGGAGGAAGTAGAGGCTCGAAGCTCCGCAGATAGCGGGTGGCAAGGTAGCGGAGTGCCCTCGGTCCCCGGCCCAGCCCCGCCCGGGGAATCCCTTTTTTCTGCCCCCCTCCTCTGGTGGGGGAGGGGCGGGCCCTGCAGAAACGGCCTGATAAAACCTCTTGGGTCTCCCTTCCGGCCTGCAGGGAGGTATTTAAGGCAAAGCACCGTAAGACCGGCAAAAAGGTGGCTCTGAAGAAAGTGCTGATGGAGAACGAGAAGGAGGGGGTGAGTATGGGCCGGGTGGGCGGGCCTGCCAGCTCCCCTGGGCTCGGGGTTGGGTTTCCACCCTGCTTCTGCTAGGGCTCTCGTCTGGAGAACCTGTGTGTGTGTGTGTTGGGGGGGGGGTAGTTAGGCAATTTCCGTATTCGGGGAATTTGGCTTCCAAATTGAATTTTTTAATTCAAATGTTCTAGAGATTTTGATATCCCACTCTTAGGTAAATACGGTTGGGGCCAGGAGGGGGAGCTCATGCCTGCAGAGTGTGCCTTGGTTCCTGAAGTTAGGAAGCCTTTAAACACGGTTTCCTTAGCATTTATTTTGCTTAAGGCGGAAAGAAATTCCACTTGGTGGTTTTAAGGGAGTGGCTGTACTCAGTTGAAAAGGAGCAGTCCCCTCCCTTGCCTCATTTTAGCCCTAGTCCAGCTTCCCAGAGACCTGCTTAGCAAGGACATTTCTTTAAATAGCTATTTGTTACCACCTAGTAAATTAAATACAGGTATAGAGCTAAAACTTAAATATTGAAGAAACTGTGGAACATTTATTTAGTGACGAGTAGTGAAGTGTGTAGGTATTAAGTCCCACTGTTTCAGTTCATTGTCTCAGAGCAACTCATTGAGGGGCACATACTATTGTTACACCCATTTTACAGCTAAGACATCTGAAATGGTTAATTTCAGAGCCTGTGACCTTACTCATTTGCTGCACCTGTGCCCCTTGATCTGGACCACACGGTTGTTCATTGGTCTGTTCATTGGTCTATAGTTGACTCGCTCACCTCAGGCCCCCTCTTGCCTTTCTCCTACCCAGTTCCCCATTACAGCTTTGCGGGAAATCAAGATCCTCCAGCTTCTGAAACACGAGAATGTGGTCAACTTAATTGAGATCTGTCGAACCAAAGGTAGGTTCTTTGGCTCCTGCCCCCCTTTACAGATGGGGAAAATGAGGCTTACTGCCTAAGGCTTTGCAAAGTTGGAAGTGGACACACCTAAATTGCCTCTTCTTAACCCAGACATACCGACTGTGACTGCTCTTGGGTCCTTCCATCGTAGCTGTTGCTCCTAGAGGGCCTGCCACAGCACCCAGCCCAGAGGAGGCACTCAGGAAATAGTTTTCCAGTGAAGGAAGGCACAGCCGAATATCCCAGTGTCCACGGGCTGGAGGGGTAGAAGCTGTGTGGGGAAATGAGTTGCACGTGGGGTTTTTTACTTTCTTTTTCTTACTCCTCCCCCATTCTTCCCTCCCAGCTTCCCCCTATAACCGCTGCAAAGGCAGTATATACCTAGTGTTTGACTTCTGCGAGCACGATCTTGCTGGGCTGCTGAGCAATGTCTTGGTCAAGTTCACACTGTCTGAGATCAAGAAGGTCATGCAGATGTTGCTCAACGGTCTCTACTATATCCACAGAAACAAGGTGGGGGTCAGCATGGGGTAAGAGAGACCCAGGCTGGGGTGGGCCTCGGCTCCTACCGCTGGGTGGGTGCGACTGAGGGTTCCCCTTGGAAACCTGATTGAGCCCTCTTGCGCTTCCTGCAGATCCTGCACAGGGACATGAAGGCAGCTAATGTGCTCATCACTCGCGATGGGGTTCTGAAGCTGGCAGACTTTGGGCTGGCCCGAGCCTTCAGCCTGGCCAAGAACAGCCAGCCCAATCGCTATACCAACCGTGTGGTGACGCTCTGGTACCGGCCTCCGGAGCTGTTGCTCGGTGAGGACTCCCGAGCGGGCGGAGTGGGGCAGGGGCTGGGCACTTACCCGGCCTCAGTCCCCCACTGCCAGGGCTTCTTGAGCCGCCGGCCCCGGGGCATTGCGTCTCAGGAGGCCCTCGGGCTCAAGGGGCCCTCCTGGTGCGCTCTTCTTCCCAGGGGAGCGGGACTACGGCCCCCCCATTGACCTGTGGGGTGCTGGGTGCATCATGGCCGAGATGTGGACCCGCAGCCCTATCATGCAGGGCAACACCGAGCAACACCAGCTTGCCCTCATCAGCCAGCTCTGTGGCTCCATCACCCCTGAGGTGCGTGGCCAGGCTGCCTGGGCCCCTGGTCCCCACAGGACGCAGAGATCCAGAAGTCCTCCTGGCAAGGGAGGAGTGGGGAGTGAAATAGCAGGAAAGTTCTGGAGAGGTGGCTGGTGGAGGGACAGGGGCTGCTCTTTAGAGTCGCATGGGCTATGCTTGAGTCTCACTTCCATCACAGTTCATGGCCCTGGGGAGGGCGTTTGCATCCCTCACCTCGGAGCTGAGTTTCTCTTCGTGAAACAACTATGCCTGTATCAGGCTTGGTGGACATATTTCAGATGACCACGTAAAAAGGCCTGGCGCTTGGTGTGTGCCAGACACGTGGTCACTGCTGCTTCTACTTTGGAGAGGTCAAGTTCACCCTCCATGGGTGGTCTGGGAGCATCTGAAAGGAGAAGCTGTAGTCCCTTCGGGTGCCTAACCAGGGGACAAGCCACACACCCCCTGAATTAAGACAGTCTTCTTCCCGTGCCTCCTGCCCAGGTATGGCCCAATGTGGACAAGTATGAGCTCTTTGAGAAGCTGGACCTGGTGAAGGGCCAGAAACGGAAGGTGAAGGACAGGCTGAAGGCCTATGTGCGTGACCCCTACGCGCTGGACCTCATCGACAAGTTGCTGGTGCTGGATCCTGCACAGCGCATCGACAGTGATGACGCCCTCAACCATGACTTCTTCTGGTCGGACCCCATGCCCTCGGATCTGAAGGGCATGCTCTCCACCCACCTGACGTCCATGTTCGAGTACCTGGCGCCACCACGCCGGAAGGGCAGTCAAATCACCCAGCAATCCACCAACCAGAGCCGCAATCCTGCCACCACCAACCAGACGGAATTCGAGCGTGTCTTCTGAGGGCCGGCTGCCCATGCTTTTCATTAGGGCAGTTTCATTTCTTTTTCTGCTATGTGACTTGCATTGTGGAGATTGTGGGGCATTTGAGTTTTCTCTAGTGCTTACTTTATTTACTCCCCACCCTGGGCACTGGGAATGCCCGCTGAGCAGACTGGAGCAAAGCTTTGGCTGAAAGTCCGGAGGGCGCTGAGGCCCCTCGCCTTGTTCCCGGGCTTTCAAGATGATGCCCAGAGGTTCTCCGTTTACTTTCACACAAGAATGGGATAGGAGGAGAGGCACACCCCACCAGTGACTTTCTGAGCATGATGGGAGGAAGGGACAGGTCCCTTGCCTGTTGCCAGCTCTCCTCTCGGGATGAGAAACTTGTGTGGGGGACAGAAGCAGCCTCAGGAATGGGCTACTCTTGGCCCAACCCTCAGACGCCTGGGGTTGGCAAAAACTTGGTTTCTTCAATAGAGAATTTTATCGTGTTTCTTTTGTTCAGTTTGGAGACATTCCTGGACGCAGTTTGGTCAGTTATAATTAAAGTTGACTTCTTTTTTTTTTTTTTTCCAGTAAGTGGCTATGTGCTGTGTTCTGTGTTCAGACCCCCCAGCTCTTAACCCTGTAGCTGGCACATTGGGTCTAACCATCGAGATTGGATTTGTCAAGTCTTGACTCTTTTCTTCATCCCAGTTCATGTCCCCAGACATAATTGCAGAGTACTTTTGTCTTTTGGAGGGTTTGTGTGTGAGTGTGTGTGTACCTTCCAGAACACTGTTGTCATGCTCCTGCAAAAGCAGGTGCTGTGATGCTCTTTTGCTCTCCCTGTCCACTTGGTGTCCAAGGGAGAGGAAAGACACATGAGGCAGGATCTTAATTCCTCAGAGAGAGGGAACTGGGGAGAGCCTGCTGTGAGCTGCATCTGCAATGGTGAATCCATGTCCTATGGCTGACAGAAGTGCTCAAACTTGACTCATGAGCACAGAAGGCTGCAGAAGGCTCTCGATCAAAGTGACAAGAGTTAGATCTGTAACTTGCAAAGGTCCTTCAGGCTGCTGAGTAGTTGGTGGCCAAGGGAGGCAAGAAAGGACCAGAGCAGTTGAAGGATCTCCAGGGGATTGGGGAGGTGGCAGTCACTGGAATTAGAATGGTGAGCAGGCCCCAAACAGCAGTGGGAAGGTTGGCATGTCTGGCGACAGAGCTGCAATCATTGGAGGAGAGCACATTTTGGTAGATACTTCCCTGTGAGTCTGAAGCTGGGGACAGGCACGCTTAGGGCAAATTCTATATTCTGTCACAGGAGGATGTCTTTTGAAGGGGGGCCCCAAAGGAAGTTGGGTAAAACTTATTATCGTATCTGTCCCTGTAGAAATTGATCCAGATCTCAGCTTCACAAAAGGCCAGAGGTCAAAACAAAAAAACCCTCTTTTTTGTTTTTATTTTTTAAGGTTTTATTTGAGACAGAGCACAAGCAGGGGGAATGGGAGAGGGACAAGTAGACCCCCGCTGAGTAGAGAGCCTGATGCAGGGCTTGATCCTAGGACCCTGGGATCATGACCTGAGCCGAAGGCAGATGCTTAACAGCCACCAAGGCCTCTTGACTAGTGTTTTAGTTTTTGGGGGCTGCCATAGGAAATCACCTAACCAGATTGGGTTAACATATAATAACATATAAATAACATATTTATTCTGTCACTGTTTCAGAAGCTAAAAGTGAAATCCAGGTGAAACCCAGGTGTCAGCAGGGTCTGTCAGCAGAGCTCTGCAAGAGAATGTTCCATGCCTTGTCTCTTTAGCTTCTGGTGATGGCTGGCAGTCCTTGGCTTTCCTTGGCTCGTAGATGAACCTCTCCAGTTTCTTCCTCTGTCTTCACCTCGTGTTCTTTCTTTTATGTGTGACTATCTCTGATGAGGACACCAGTCAATGGATTTAGGACCCATCTTGATCCGGTATGATCTCATCTCGACCAGCTACATCTGCAAAGATCTTTTAAAATAAGGTCACATTTTGAGGTTCCAGATGGACATGGACTTCTATCCAAGTCAGTATAGCTAGTAAGTAATCAAATCCATATGGAAACAACTGCAAATTGTCCTAATGGTTATTGAGTCAATAGTTTTATTTTTTAAATGATTTTTAATGAATTCCTTTGTGCATGGGGTGGGGCGGGGGAATGTGGCTGAGGGAGAGAATCCCAAGCCAACTCCACACCCAGCGCAGAGACCGGGGTCGGGGGCCCTCGATATCACAGTCCCAAGATTATGACCCAGGTGGAAACCAAGAGTCTGACACCCAACTGACTGAGCCACCCAGGCACCCTTGGAGTCAATAGTTTTGAATGACCTGGCCTAAATTGTCAGAGGTGCGTTTTTTTTTTTTTTCTTCTCTGAAGGAGATAGAAAGCTGCGCTGCAGAGGCTCTTGTTCTCTGACCCAGCAATTTCTCTTACAGAAGTTTCCACTGCTGAGGCACCTGGGTGGATCAATCAGTTCAGACTCTTAGTTTGGGCTCAGGTCATGATCTGAGATCAAGCCCCATGTTGGGCTCCATGCTCAGTGTAGAGTCTGAGATTCTCTCTCTCCCTCTGCCCCTCCCACTCGAGCTCTCTCTCTAAAATAGATGGAATCTTAAAAAAAAAAAAAGACATTTCCACTGATACAGTGACAGCCTCATTGCATCCTCACTACCAGCCTGATTGTTTCATGCCTTTGTTCAGCATGTATTGTCTGTGTCTTCCAAGGACCAGACTTTTCTGAACCCAATACAGCTATCAAGCAGTGGCCACCCCCACCTCTATGGAACTCACATTCTAGTTGGTTCGAACTAGTCTGATGGGATAAATTGTGTGGCAAACAATAAAGTGGAATAGTGGGGAAAGGGTGGGAGGGGCTCAGGGTGACACAGGAGCAGAAACCCCGAGAGAAATGGGACGTGGGGAGGGGTCGGGTAGAGGGTGGCACAAGTGCCAGGACCCAAGGCTAGGAAGCTTTCAGAGAGCCTTGTGCGGAGGGGTACATGCATTTTATTTTTATAATTTTTATTTATATTTTTTAAAGATTTTATTATTCGTGAGAGACACAGAAAAGGAGAGAGAGAAGCAGAGACACAGGCAGAGGGAGAAGCAGGCTCCATGCAGGGAGCCGATGTAGGACTCCATCCCGGGTCCAGGATCATACCCCGGACTGAAGGTGGCACTAAACCTCTGAGCCACCCAGGCTTCCCGGGACATGCGTTTTAAAAGGTCAGAGTGTCTCTGTTGAAAGCTGGACGCAGGGGAAACGGGGCTGTAATAATCCAGGCATGAGGCGATGAGGGCCTGAACCAGCCTGGTAATGCGGCTGGTGGCAAGTGTGTCAATCTATGTGATGATGCTATGAGGGTAAGTGTTTTCAGGTTGGATGAGTGAATGAAAGGAGTCCAGAGTCCCGGGCTTTGCTGGAAGGGAGGTTGGGGCTGCCATCCCTGAGACAGGGAAGGCTGCAGGAGGTGGGGCCCAGGCATGGGTGGTCCAACATGGTAAGATGGAGAGGACATCCAGTGGAGTTGGCAGGTGTATATCAAAGGCTAGCTCAGGGCCCCAGAGTCTGAACTGGGGTACACCTTTGGGAGCTGTCAGCACCATGGTTTGTAATGGTCCAGGGCAGGAGGAGATCACATGGCAAGAGAGAACAGAGATGATGGCTCCCTGGGTCCTCCAGTGTTCAGATGTCCTCAGGGAATCAAGAGCAGGAATGATGAGGTAAGCAGGGGCCAGGGAGAGGGTGTTCTGGGCAGGAGGGAGTGGTGGCTTGGACAAGTGCCTCTGATGGTCCCATGCTGATGGGAGTGAGGGCTGACCATCAGGCCACGCTACATTGGGGTCAGTGGTGGGTGCTTTGGGTGAAGGCTTGCCAGGAGCTGTAGGATTCCTGGAAAACAAGACAAAGGGGATCAAAGACAGGAAGCAGGAACATCTGTAAAGGAGGAGTGGGGATCCAACTAGTCTTGGCTAGTCTTACATGAGAGCCAAGACATCGTGGAATGACCCGGTAGAGACGGCACGTCTCTGTGTTGATTCTCGTCCTGTAGACAGAAGGGCCATGTGGCCAGGTGTGCAGTGGCCACACAAAGGCTACTCCCCTAACCCCCTTTCTGCTACCTCCTCCCAGTGTGTCCACGATGTTCAGGGCAGCCCTGTGTGGGGAAAAGCTGGGAGAACCTCCTTCAGCTTCGGTAAGTTAGAGCAGCTCTTTGCCTTCAGTGCACGTCCAGACCTGGGACTCCTGTGTCCAGGTGGGTGCCTCTGGCCAACCAACGCTGCTGGTTGGGATTCAGGCAGCACGTGTATAGCATTAGAAAGATGTTCCAGTTCTATTGCTTGAACTCATTTTATAAGAAAAATAAGGAATCACAGTAAAACATTACTCGTGGTTGTTCCTGGATGGTTTTGCTCTTCATGTTTCTCTGTGTTTTCTCCTGTTTCCTTACTTCGTATTTTTACTCATGCAGCCAAACCGTATTTTCAAACAAAAAGCAGCCCCTAAGCCCTGGAGCTGCTGGCTCCAAGCTCCCCCAACACAGAACTGCCCAGAGGGGAGGCCTGGACTAACCATGCCTCAACCCCTGGCATGCAGAAGGAGTTGCCCTGTCTGTGGAGAGAGATGCGTGGTCAGGAACCAAAGCTCCCAGAGGGCAGGGCCTCGTGGTGTTACCCTGAGGCAGCTAGTGGAGGGCCTGGCATCTGCGAGTGGCACCCACTCCAGCGGGTCAGCCCATGCAAGCTGACGGTTGAAGGGGGAAAGCCGGGGTGGGGAAGGCCTCCACCAGCCCTGGGGGGCCAGCCCTCCATTTCACCCTGCAGGCGGGGAACTCTGTCTTTGTCCTGGCTCCTTTTTGGGAAAACCCAGCCTCTGACTCCTCAGGTAGAGAGTGCCTGGGTGTCCTGCCTTTGCTGTAGGGGGCTCCCAGCCTGGCAGGGCCAGGGCCAACGGCCCTAACTGTGAGGAGAGGTGGGCTGTGATAAGAAAGGCCAGATAAGGCCAGCCTGGCTCTGCAGGAAGCCCAGCCCCAAGGTCTGGAAGTTTCTCAAGGGCTCCCTTCTCTCTGCACAGCACACCCCCCACCTTCCCACTCACCTTTAACCTTCCTGGGCTGTTATTTAACCCGGGAGATTCATCAGAGAGGTCCCTCCCTAGGCCCATCCCAGGATGAGAGCAGGCACCTATCAGCTAAGACCTTCTTCCCTGGCCCTGGGGAGGCCCTGGCCAAGGCCAACAGGCAGGGAGAGGGAATCCCCCCAACACCCCCTCCTTCCTCTAGCCCAGCCAAGCCCTGGGCAGAGGGGATTTGACAGAGGCGCCCTCACTCAGGGATCACTCTGTGCCCAGCCCCGTTAGGGTGCAGGAAGCCCAGGGATGAACGGTACCAGGTCTTTGGCAACCTCCTGGCTGAGAAGGTGCGGTGGGAAGCTACCATGGAGCAGCCGGGCCCATCTGCAAGTCCTTTCTCAGCTAAAACTTCCTCCTTCCAGGTAGGAGAGCTTGGTAAAGTTACCTGGGGCAGGTAACTCCTGCCTCTCTAAGGTTAGATCTTTGTTCTGTGTAACGTGTAACTACTCCCTCGGGGGCCCAAGGCCATCAACAGTGATAACCCACATTTGGCAGGGCCCCAGGGGAAAACTTTGTCTTCTCTAAAATCTTGTTCTGTGGGCTTGGGGCGATCAGGGGCCTCCCCTGTGGGCCTCAGCTCCACCTTCTAACCAGGCCAGAGGCTCCATGGGAACCCCTGCCCGCTGTGGTTGGGGGGAAGCTCTTTTTTTTTTTTTTTTTAAATAATTTTTATTTTATTTAATTTATGATAGGCACACACAGAGAGAGAGAGGCAGAGACACAGGCAGAGGGAGAAGCAGGCTCCATGCACCGGGAGCCCGACGTGGGATTCGATCCCGCGTCTCCAGGATCGCACCCTGAGCCAAAGGCAGGCGCCAAACCGCTGCGCCACCCAGGGATCCCTCTTTTTTTTTTTTTAATAAATTAATTTTTTATTGGTGTTCAATTTACCAACATACAGAATAACACCCAGTGCTCATCCCGTCAAGTGTCCCCCTCAGTGCCCGTCACCCACTCACCCCCACCCCCTGCCCTCCTCCCCTTCCATCACCCCTAATTCGTTTCTCAGAGTTAGGAGTCTTTATGTTCTGTCTCCCTTTCTGATATTTCCCACACATTTCTTCTCCCTTCCCTTATATTCCCTTTCACTATTGTTTATATTGGGGGGAAGCTCTTGAGGAGGGGTCCCCAAGGCAGAACTGACAGCAGGACTGGGAGGTGCAGAGGCCCCCTCACAGGGCTTCTAGTGCTCCAGGCTCTTTTTTTTTTTTTTTTTAAGATTTATTTATTTATTCAGAGAGAGAGAGAGAGAGAGAGGCACAGACACAGGCAGAGGGAGAAGCAGGCTCCATGCAGGGAGCCCAACGTGGGACTCGATCCTGGGTCTCCAGGATCCCACCCCCCGGCTGCAGGCAGCGCTAAACCGCTGCGCCACTGGAGCTGCCCTCTTGACATGGTTCTTACACTGGATCTCACCAGATTAAATTCTGCCTGCTCCATAAGGAAGGGTTGTTAGCTCCATTTAAATAATAATAATAGTAAGAATTATAGTAATAGTGGCAGCCCTGGTCCCGTGCTGATGTTGCTATTTTATAGATCTGGAAGGTGCGATAGTGAGCAGTTAAGCACCTAGCCTATTGAATTTCTAACCCCCATCTGGAGCTTGCTCTGGGCTCCAGGCCCAGCACCCTCTCATTCTGCCTCACCACACCCCTCTGAAGTGGGCATGACAACATTCTCTGCTTTACAGATGAGGAAATGGGGCTCAGAGAGGTGAGGAGACTGGCCCAGGCCGGCCCCCCACCTTCCAGCCTGGCTTGGGTGAACACTGGCTGGAGCTGGTATAGAACTCGCCTGGCTGCAGGAGTCTGAGTGAGGAAATCAAGGTTCAGGACCTGACAGGCACTAGACAAGTCACTTGGCCTCAACAACCTTCAGTTTTCTCCTCTCTTGAATGGGCCCACAGTGAGTCAGCACCTCCCTCCCTCTTGGGACTGTAGTCTGAAGTCCAGGCCAGAATTTTAAGGCTGCCATTAGCCAGCCTGGGGCTGCACACCAGGCCAGGCCACTCTTTACCCAGACCACCTGACCCATAGAACCTTCTGCCCAGCAGCAGAGGAGGGGTGGCCCCAGATGCAAGGGTTTGAGAGCAGTGGCCCCCGTGAGGTCATCCAGGCCCCCTTACCTTACAGGTCAGGACCCTAGGGAGGTGAGGTGACTTGCTCAGGGTCACACAGTGTGGGTCCCCTCAGCAGGGAAGAGAGAATTGAGGACACTCCAAGAGCTATGGGGTTTTGGCATTTTGCATGGCTCCTTGAGGCAGTAAGGCCTCCCTCTGAAATAAGAGCCAGCTCAAGGCCAGAGCCCCATTGATCAAATGACCAGGTGACAGGTGCCCTTGCAGGACACAGGGCAGGTGGGGGCAGGGTCCAGGGGTGGCCTGAGGGTGGAGTCTGGAGCCTGTGTTATAGAGCCCTTGAGTGACTAAGCTATTTTCCCTGTTAGGCCTTCTTTTGCCTCCTCTGAGAAATGGGTCCAGGAACAGAAGCATTGCATAAAGATTTCTGCACAGTGCTGATGTTTAGAAAGAATTCATATTAGCTATTATTAAAGAAAATCCAAGTCACAAATGAAAAAAAATAGCCAAGGATTCCCAAGCTTGATCAGTAGCAGCTGGGGGCACCTGGCTGGCTCTGTCAATGGAGCATGTCTCTTGATCTGGGGGGGGGGGGGTTGTAAGTTCAAGCCCCGCTCTGGGTATAGAGAGGAAATAAAAGATAAATAAACTGGAAGCAGCTGGAATCAAATGGAGTTGGGACTAAGCCGAATCCTTGCTCCGCCACTTGCCAGCTGGTGAGCTTCGCAGGTGATTCTGCACCTCTGGTCCTCAGTTCCTCCCTGGTCAGAAGGGCTCAGTACAGCACCTGGCAAGGACACGGCTCATAAATCTCACACCCCAGGGAGGAGGTGCTGAAGACAATTGTGGTTGCAGAGTGAGATATGCAAATGAAAAAAAAATTCCACACACTTCTTCCCACTGGAGGTCAGGAAGACAGCTGTCTGCAGGTTTGAGCAGAGAAGGTAGCAGCCAGTCCAAAGAGCGTCGGGCCCCTGGGGAGGAGGCCGGGCTGAAGCCAGCCTCTCTGTGGCCTGGCCCACCACAAGGCCTTGCATCACATGTCTGGTACCCTCTGAGGGCCCCTTTTGGCCATGAGTGGGGACCCCAGGAACACCCCAAGAACATGTGGGCCATGCCTAGTTCCAGGTCAGTTATAGCCCCTTGCTGGGCTTCAGTATCCCCAGTGGCTAAACAAAAGGGCAGATGGTGAACAGAATGTGGCAAGAAAATGACATTTGAGCAAAGACCTGGTATGATAGGGAGTCGGTCATGGGAACTTTGTGGAGAATGATCCAGGCAGAGGGAACCACCAATGCAAAGGCCCTAAGGCACTGTCATACATTCTCTCTGTGTGACCTTCAGCTGGCTGAGTAACCACTCTGCCTCAGTTTCCCATGTGTATGATGAGGATAATCAAAGTGCTCAAAAAGCTATTGTGAGGATGACATGGGTACTTTTAATGCCGAGGTGGACCTTTGCAGAGATGGGTGTGAGCAGGTGTATCTGAGGATCCCAGAGAAGGCCAGCAGGGCGGGGGCGATGGTAAGAGATGGTGAGTACAAAAGTTTGGATGTAACCCTAAATGCTGTGGAAATTCACTGAAGGGGTTTAGCAGAACAGAGACAAGATCTGATTTTCTTTTTAAATGACAAGAGAACGCTTGTGTGTGTCCAAAGGAGCAGCAGCAAGACTACAGACAGGGCGGAGCAGCAGTGGTGACATGGAGGGAAGTCTGTGGCTGCTGGAAAGGCTGTGGATGGGTGGGGTTTGGGGGTGAGGGAAACCCAAGGTGAGGGCAGCTGGGCAGATGGTGAAGCTGTGTCCCAAGCTGGGAAGGCCTGGCTGGCTGACTGGTTTCAGGGCAGAACACAAGGGAACACATGCTATGGATATGACCAGTGTAAGGTGCTTGCTGTGGTCAAGCCTGGGGGAGATGTCAGGAGGCCACTCATGTCCGTAGCACTTGAAACTCAGACATCATCCCAGACCTGGGACCTTGGAGAGAGAGAAGCATGATCCCTGGGGCCCTCCAACATGAGGATGGGGGTGGTGAGGGCAGGGGGTGGGGAAGGTGCAGCCAAGCAGGAAGAAGGAAGAAGTAGCACCAGGGAGGGAGGTGTCAGGGAAGCACAGAGAACAAAGGGTTTCAGGAAGGAGGAGGGCATCATGAGCCTTGTATTATAACCTGCCACCTAAGATGGAGGGTGATCAACATGGCTCATGGGGCTCTGAGCACAGTTCCAATTGATTCCTCAAGGTCATTTTTAGAAATAGAATTACAGGATCAGAGGGAGGCCTATTTTTAAGGCCCCGGTTGCCCTCCAACTAAATCCATAAACACCTTAGTAGCCAGACTCAAGGGTGTGAGTTTGGCATAGCCACACCACTGAGGATATGGAATTCCCTCTAATGCAAATTTTCTTCCCCCAATTACAGAATAAGTGTTTTCTTATAGGTCACTAGATGTAAATAGATATTGGGTGGTGGAGGAGTCTTTTTATCAAAGGGTTAAAACCCCGGGGCCGGGGGCTGTCAGGCTTCTGTACAAACCTACCAATGAGCTCGAACCTCCCTTGGTCTACGTAAGCAAGAAAGGAACCACTGGACCCCTCTAGTCCAGGCTCTGGAGTGTGGTAGCCTTTGGAGACTTGTCCTCAGTGAAATATCCACCCATAGATATCCCCAGAAATTATGGGCTAGGACAGAGCTCATTTCAGCTCTCACCCTACTAAGGAGGAGACCAAGGGCCAGACAGGATCAGAGAGGGGAAGCAAATTGCCCAGGGCCACCCAGCTCATTGACAACAGACGAACCTCGATTTCTCTACTATAAAATGGGGCCAATCTCTAATTCACACACTTTTCAAGAACACAAAAAGAGATTGCAATGTCAAGTACAGGGATAAGTGTTTATTTTATTTTATTTATTTTTTTAAGAATAGCTTTTTTTTTTAATTTTTATTTATTTATGATAGTCACAGAGAGAGAGAGAGAGAGAGGCGCAGAGACATAGGCAGAGGGAGAAGCAGGCTCCATGCACCGGGAGCCCGATGTGGGATTCGATCCCGGGTCTCCAGGATCGCGCCCTGGGCCAAGGGCAGGCGCCAAACCGCTGCGCCACCCAGGGATCCCGGGATAAGTGTTTAATAAATGTTAACTGAAAGCAACCTGCCCGAAAAAGCAAAGGAGAAAAGTATAGAAGAAAAGTATTTCAGGCAAAGGTAAATGTGAGCAAAAGCTTGGAAGTGGAAGACACCCAGACCGATTCCTGAAGTCCTTGGCCAGCTGTAAGGATGGTGCGCTAAGGTGGTTAGTGAGGCAAGAGGTGGTGGAAGCTGGGCAACAGTGAGCTTATGGGCTTTATTAATCTGGAGGGCATGATGGGCCAAGAGAGGGGGCGGTGACACAGGCTGATCTGAGTTTAAAAAGTCCACCCTGGGGCCCAGCATAGGGCCTTTGCTGACCTGCTGTGTGACCCCAAGCTGTCTCTGTCCCTCTCTAGGACCTCAGCCTCCTGCCCCTATAGCAGTGAGGATGGCTTTAATCAGGGTTATCAGGGTTTGCAAAGATGTATGTTCCTTTGTGAGTTTCCTTCTCTACTGTCTTCTCACATCGGACAGGGCGCTCTGCAAGCAGGACTTGGCCATCTGTCCCCAGAACCCAGTGTCTCCAGCACCAAGCCCAGGGTCTGGCACAGAGGTGAATGGATGGATGGATGGATGGATGGATGGATGGATGACATCCTTTCCCTTTGAGAGGGTGGGGGTTAAATTAGAATTCCTGGCCCTTGCTCCCCTCTACATACATCTGCAGATCTGCTTCCAGTGGGGGGACACTGACCCACTTGCCAGTTTTCTTGCATCCCTGTTTTCTTTTTCTCTCCAGACAATGGCTTTGTTTCTATTGTCCTTTCTGGAGAGCATGAATACTTTCATCCTGGAACTAAAAAGCCAACATTGGTTTTCCAGGTGTGTGATGAAGGTGACTTTGATTTTTTTCCCCTTACACATTTCTCTGTTTTCTTCTATAAACATCTGTGACTTTCAAAATAAAAAGCAATGGGGACACGTGGGTGGCTCATTGGTTGAGCATCTGCCTTCGGCTCAGGGCCTGATCCTGAAGTCCTGGAATCGAGTCCCACATTGGGCTCCCTGCACAGAGCCTGCTTCTCCCTCTGCCTAGGTCTCTGCCTCTCTCTCTCTCTGCTGTCTCTCATGAATAAATACATAAAATCTTAAAAAAATAAAAAATTGGGATGCCTGGGTGGCTCAGTGGTTGGGTGCCTGCCTTTGGCTCAGGTGGTGATCTGGGAATCCGGGATCGAGTCCCACATCGGGCTCCCTGTGAGGAGCCTGCTTCTCCCTCTGCCTGTGTCTCTCATGAATAAATAAATAAATAAATCTTTAAAAAAAATAAAAATAAAAAGCAATGATACAAAGGAGGTTAGCAAATCATACATACAAATGTTTTTTTTTGTTTTTATTTTTTAATACATTTTTTAAAGATTTATTCGAGACACACACACACAGAGACACACAGGCACATACATATGGCAATATGTATGAAGATGTTGAATGCCAATCCCTTTTAACCTAGCAATTGCACTTCTTGGAATTCATCCATCAGATGTGCTCACACATGGAAGAGATGATGAGGGTAAAATGTTACCCACTGCAACATTGCTTGTGATGGCAAAATATTAGAAACCTAAATGTCCATCAGTAGGAGACTGGCTAAATCCACAGTAGTACTTCCACGCCAGGGAGTACTGAGCAGCTTCAAAAAAAACAAATTAGCCAGTGAGGCAGCTCTTATGTACCAACATGGTCCAAAATAAGGTTCAGGATATAAAGGTACATGGAAAAAGTACAATGCAGACTTGTGTATATGGTCTGCTATCTGCAAGTATAAACGGGAAATCTCTATATTTGCTTGCAAATGCATGACATATCTCTGAAGAGCTCACAGGAAACATAACTGACTGGAGAGAGCTATTATTGATGCTGGGACCTGGTGTGGGAGAGAAGCTTTTCATTGTGTATTTTCTGTACTTCTGACTAATTGAATGATATGATGTATTATCCATCAAAAAATATTAGGATTTATTTTATTTTGAATTTTTATCTTTTTTGGAGAGAGTAGGGAGGGGATAGGGGCAGAGGGAGAGGGAGCAAGAGAGAATCTTAAGCAGGCTCCATGCCCGTCACAGAGCCAGAGGAGGGGCTTGATCTCACAATCCTGAGATCATGACTTGAGCCAAAATCAAGAGTCAGATATTTAACTGAGCCACCCATGCGTCCCCTCCCTCAAAATATTAGGATTTAAAAACAAAATAAAAATAGGAAAAGAAGATAACTCTATTCAACCCCCCACCCCCTTAAATGACTCCTACAAATTTCCCAGTGTCTGTGGCTATGATGACCATTGTCCTTAGAGACCATGGAGTAAACAGAGGTCCAGGGGAAAGGAGACATGACCTGCCCAAGGCCACTGGGTGGCTTTGCCAAAGCCCTAGTCACCACTTATAATTTCCTACACAACTGGGATGATATCAGATAGACCCCCAGAATTTTCTGGGCTGCTGCTTGCCTTCATGCCTTTGCATCTATTCTGTTCCCAACTGGAACAGAAGTCGGTAGCTCAATGATTGTTAAGATTGCAAATGCAGTCTGCTCTAGAGAGGGGGAAATGAACAGACTTCTTTGCTCAGGGCAAAGGGAAAGAGATCGGTTAAGATTTAGGAATGTAGATAAATGGAGTTTTCCAGCTGACCTGGGAGAAGAGAGACTCCTTCCTGGCATCTTATTTTCCCTGCGGTCTCATTCTTGAAGGAATGACCCGGAGCTCCAGTACACCCTGTTATATATGGATCAACTGAGGCCACCCATAGTAGATCAAGAAAAAACATTTCGGGGGACCCTGGGTGGCTCAGTCATTTAAGGGCTTGACTCATGATCTCAGCTCAGGTCTTGATCTCGGGTTTGTGAATTTTAAGTTAAGCCCCCAACAGTAACTTAACAACAACAAAAAAACAAAACTACTTTAAAAACTACTGGGGGGGGGGTAAAAAAATAAATAAAAAAATAAAAACTACTAGAAGACTACTTAAACAAACAAACAAACAAAACTTGGTGTATACAGGACAGAACTGAGGACTAATGTCTTTGATCCCCAAAATGCTTTTATAACTGCCGAGAAGGGGATGAACAGACAGTAGGAAAGTGTGCCAAGGATGAGGGAGGCAGTTTACAGAAATAAATGTATGGAAAATGCTCATGTTTACCACAGCCAGGGAAATGCAGAGTAACAGTGACAAGGTACTCTACACCCAGCAGTCTGGGGGACATTCTGGGAATGGGGTATCCTCACCCACAGTTGGTGGGATGCAAATGTTACAGTGTGAGGGGAAAGAATTGCAAATACCCATAGACCCCAAACTCTCATTACAGGGGATCTTACCCACAGAAACAAAACCCCCTGGGGCACATGCTGTCCCCAGAGACAAAACACAGATGGAAGGTGACACGAATGCCCCTCAGCAGGCAAGTGGTTGGTGCAATATAGTACTGCCACTGCCACTGAGTTAGCAGGGTCCCCGCCCCGGCACAAGGGCAGGAGGGAGGCAATTGGCCTATTTCCTCACTTGTGAAAACAGGCCATTAATACTAGTAACATTAATACTAGTCTTATAGGGTCATTATGGATAAAGGAATGGTATAGAAGGTGTTTAGAACAGGGCATGGCCCAAACAAGTGCTCTTTAACTATCTGCTAAGTCAGTATCTTCAAGGGATCCCTGTAAGCTTATTGTTGGATAAGAGTGTTAAGATGATGGGATGCTGGGTGGCTCAGCGGTTAAAGTGTCTGCCTTCGGCTCAGGGCGTGGTCCTGGGGCACGATCCTGGGGATCTAGTCCCCCATCGGGCTCCCAGTAAGGTTCCTGCTTCTCCCTCTACCTGTGTCTCTGCCTCGCTCTCTCTCTGTGCCTCTCATAAATAAAATGTTTTTTTAAAAAAAGTGTTAAGATGCAGAAAATATTGTCATGCACATCGACAAAGTCCTATAGATGTCTAGATGTGTCTGTCATCTCATGTGCTTAGAAAACATGATGGGATGTCACCAAAGGAGGAATTTAAGAGGTAGGGGTGAGCAAAGAAAAATATTTTTTATTTTTAAAGATTTTTATTTTTAAGTAATCTCTACACCCAACATGAGGCTTGAACTTAATTATCCCACGATCAAGGCTTGAATGCTCTACGGACTGAGCCTGCCAGGATCCCACAAAGCAAAAAACATTTAAAGCTCCTTTTTATGATCATTTCTATGCAGTTATTATATGCATGTATACGCATAGAGAACATTTCAATGAAGAAGAGGAAGAAGGAGGAGGAAGAGAAGGAGAAGAAAACCAAGAAGGGAAAGCATCTATTTCCCATGGGGCCAGAGTTGGGATGCCCAACAGTGATGTAAAGAGCAGAAGTCCAGCCAATGACAGAATCTTCCCAACATGTCATATGTTTATTTCAAAAATCAAACAATCTCTGATAAATATTTACCCCCAATGCTGGCAGGAAAGAGGGAGGGAGGTGCTGGAATCAGTTGTTTGAAGGATTATCTTTTGCCTGTGGGAACTTCCCTAGAGTGTTGTCTATAGCAACCCTGCCCCCCAGCCCCCCATCCATACACCTTTCTGTGACCTGAGCTATAAAAAGGGCATCTCTGAGCCGGTCAGCTGTGGAGGGCATGGGAGCTTTTGCCACCGGGAGCTGCCCAGGGCCCAGGCCACCAGCCTTTGGATGGGGAGTCTTCCCTGGTGACTGTAGCTTCAGCCCTCTGGGTGTGGCGGATGATCAGGTTGTTCTGTTGTGCTCCTTCACCTTCTAAAGATGCATTGTCTTATCTCTCTACACCTGCACACTGAAGAATGCAATGTCTTGATTAACTTGCTTAAGGAATGTCATAAAAATCACAGCATTCTGAAATTGTTTGGTCATTGCAATGATTTCGATCAGGAGATGAGACAATGCTTGAAGGAGTACATGGAAAAGAGGACCAAGAGCAGGGAGCATGGCAATGTGATGCGAAAAGGACTTTTTAATCCTACAGAGGGCTGAAAAATAAATGACAGGCATATCTTATGAAGAAAGAAAAAAGAAAAGAAAAGGAATCTCCATGCTACTTTTTCCATGCTAGCAGTTCTGGCCAAGAAGGTCAAAACGGGGAAAGTCTGGGACAAGTCCTCCTCACCCCTAAACTAGGATAGATTATGTCTCCTCCCCACGTGGCTCTCTATCTAGTTCATTCTCCACACAGCAAGTCTTCCGACGCGCAAACCTGATCTTGTTATCTTTTTTTAAAACCATTTTATTGTTCTCCAGATTTAATCCAAATTTCTTAGGCTACAAGGTCCTGCTGGATCAGGCATTCTGGCACTCCGGGGCAACTAGGCCCCACCAGGTGGAAGTGCAGTTCCCTCGGGCTAGTTAGTTCGTGCTCTCTCTCCCTCCCTTCCTCCCTCTCCACCCCGCCCTCTCCCTCTTCAGTCCTTTGCTTTTCACCGGCGTTCGCTCCCTTGGCCTGGAAACCTCTCCCCACACCCGCTGCTCGCCACCTCTCTGACTCCGCCTCATCCCCAGGCCCCTGTTAGGATGTCGTTTCTTCCAGGACGCCTTCCGAGGCTGCCCAGGGACGGTAGTAGCCCCAGTAGCGAAGGTGCTTGGGATTGGGTCTATCGCCTCGCCATCGGATTGTCAGATTCAGGAGCGCAGAGGCCGGACACCCGCCGCCTGCGGTCTGTGCGTTAAGGCGTGACGTTTCTGGGCTTGAATTAAAGGACCTCCCTCCAAGCGTACGCCTGCTCCGTCTTCTGTGCCGCCTCAGAGCTAGTCCTCGTGGATCACCAGGCTGAGGGGTGCAGACTAGGACTATTTTGGGGGTGTGGCCGAGTCCACGAGATGCTGAGCGCGTGCGGAGGGCGTTCCGGGGAGCGTGCCCCTCACAAACCGGGCGAAACCGCCCGCCCCGCCCCCGGGCCTGCCCCTCACAAATATGGCATCGGCGGGTTCTTATTGGTTCCGGAGGACGCACTGGGCGGCGCTGATTGGCCGAGGGCGGGGGCGGGGCGGGGCGTCTCCTGCTCGGGCCTAGCGAGTGGTAGCGGGCGCCGGGAGTATGTCGCAGGCACGCCGCCACCTGCGCGTGGCTCTCTTCCTGGCAGCAGTTTCCCCGCGCGGTGCAACGACCGGGGTCAAGGCGCGGCGAGGGTTGAGCGCGTGGCCCGCGCCGCAGGAGCCCGGCATGGAGTATCAGGTATCCGGCGGGCCGACGAGCGGTCGTGCGATGATGACACGTGGGCCGGGCCTGAGTCACACGGCGTCCGGACTCCGGGTCCTGAGGCTGGGGTGGACCGGGAGCCTGGCGGTGGGGGACTCGGGGGCGGGACATCCTGGAGCCCGGGGGTGGGGACAGGCACCAGGAAGTTGGGCCTGGGCCGCCGATTCTGGGAATTCTGAGGCTAAGAAGTCCCGCCTTGTGGGAAGGGGTGCCCAGTGACAGGAGGTCCAGTTTCTCCAGAGTCCCAACTAAGCGGTTGGGTGGTGGAGGCTGGGGGGAGAGTAAAGAGTTTCAGGAATTCACACTTGAGAGATCCAAGAATTGAGATTTTGGGTTGGAGTCTCCAGGATTCAGGAAAGTACCCGCAACTGGGGGGCAGGCAGGATTCACCCCATGTTGGTGGGGGTAAGAATTTGGAAAACAAAACTGACACCAGGCTCTGTTGCTGAGGCTGGTTTCCGTAGACCACACCTGTTGCCTGCCAGGCAGTTAACAGTTTTAATGGGTGTGGGGCCTCCAACCAGCTATTGGGACCCTAAGGAGAAATAAATAGCACCTGCACTCTCACCCTCAGGGTAGACTCTCCTGAGACTGTAGCTACCCACCTTGCCAGCTGGGTGACCCCAGGTATATATACCCTTCTTCCTCTGAGCCTCCTGCTCTTCTCCATCTGGATGCTTCAAGCAGCTCTTCTTTGGGTCAGAATGCGGAGCCCCATCCTCAGGGTTGGGCATGGAAACTTCCAGGGATTCCTAGTTCAAATTCCTCCAGTTCTAAGACCCCAGCCTTCTGGGGTTCTGCTCCTGCAGTCCCCTCCCAATTTAGGACCCAGTATAGATGTGGATGTCATTGGAGGGAACAAGACCTAAGGCCCTGGTGTGGGGGGTGAAGACTGCTGAAGACAGTTCGGAAGCCCGAACTGGGAACAGGAAGCAAGGCTTTTCCCGTTAGGCATGTAACCTGCTTGCCTGACACTCCTAGGTGGGGCTGAACTGCCACAGGCTCCCATCTCTGCCAGGGCTGGAAAGATGCCACTTCTCTAACCTCTAGGCTGGGGCAACAGGGCTGGCATTTGTAGACTTGGTGCCCTGGCTTGGCCACTGATGCCCTGGGGTTCCTCTGTTTCTGTGGACTGCTGGTGGGTCTTAACCTGCTACCTGGGGACTGTGGTTGCTAGGATGCAGTGCGCACACTGAATACCCTGCAGACCAATGCTGGCTACCTGGAGCAGGTAAAGCGCCAGCGGGGTGATCCTCAGACACAGCTGGAAGCAATGAAGCTGTACTTGGCACGGAGTGGTCTGCAGGTAAGGTGGGCGGGGCCAGTGACACCCCTCCCCCCCGCCCTCCCCCATCTATGAGTCTGCGGCTGAGGCAGTTGTCTCTGTCTCAGGTGGAAGACTTGGACCAGCTGAACATCATTCACGTCACTGGGACCAAGGGGAAGGTGAGGGATGGGACTCAGGAGCAGGATAGCCATTTGATGGTGTGGGAGGGTGAGACGTGCCAGACAAGACCTGTTCTTTCTAGGGCTCCACTTGTGCCTTCACGGAACGTATTCTCCGAAGCTACGGCCTGAAGACAGGATTCTTTAGGTACTGAGGTGTGGAGAAATGTGGGATCTCTTAGCTCTCTGGAGGGCTTTGGAACCAACTAGCAGGAGCTCAACTGCTTGTCTCTCTGCCCAGTGTTGGTTTATTAATGGAATAACCATTCCATTAGCTTTTAACATATTGGCCCCAGTTTGTGGCAGTCTTGAACTTTCGTAATGAAACAAATTTGGGAGAGGGATAGCAACTTGGATGTATAAAGTAAATACATAGCAAGAATCGTCAGATACCCTTTTATTAACTTTTAAATTCCACATCCTGTTTTTATTTTTTTTTTCCTGTAAGATTTTTAAAAAATTTAAGTAATCTCTACACCCAGTGTGGGGCTCAAACTCACAACCCCCCATGATCAAGTGTTGCACGCTCTACCAACTGAGCCAGCCAGGTGCCCTCACGTATAGCTTTAAAATCACAGAGAAATAGGGATCCCTGGGTGGCACAGCGGTTTGGCGCCTGCCTTTGGCTCAGGGCGCGATCCTGGAGACCCGGGATCGAATCCCATATCGGGCTCCCGGTGCATGGAGCCTGCTTCTCCCTCTGCCTATGTCTCTGCCTCTCTCTCTCTCTCTCTCTCTCTCTCTCTCTCTCTCTCTGTGACATCATAAATAAATAAATTTAAAAAAATTAAAAAAAATCACAGAGAAATATTTATCAGTTTGGATGTCTCTACAGTAAGGAGCAGAAAACCTGGCTTATTAGGGTTTAAGGTCTAGGTAGTTTATGATATCAGCGTGTCAAGGCCTCCCTTCTGCTCTGCCAGCCTCAGCCACTGCTTTGCCCTTTGGGGCAGCACCTCCTCGTGCTTGTTGTCAGGCACCCAAAACTCATACCAGAGGATGGGGTATGGACCAGACGTGAGGTACTCTTCCCCGTATTACACATGCCTCTCCCTACCTGGCCACCAGTCAAGCAGTAGGATTAAGGTGATGATTAATTGCTGAGGATTTGGTCCTTGGGGTGGAGGGACTTAAGATTTTTACTTCCTTTTATTTTACTAGTTCCATCAAGTGCCTTCTGTGGCTGTCTGGAATCAGCTGAGATCATTTCAGGCCATATTTTCTCTTCACAGTTCATTGTTCAAAATAAATGTAGAGAGGGATTTATAATACAAGCGGAGCTTGGAGGATTCAAATATAAGCTGACAATCTTTTTTCTAAAATAATTTTTGGGGCGGGGCAGCCTGACGGGGTAGAGAGTGCGACTCTCGATCTCGGGGTTGTGAGTTTGAGCCCCATGTTGGGGCTGGAGATTACTTTAAAAAATGAAACTTTAATAAAAAGTATTTTTTTAAAACATATTTTTTGGGGTAAAAACCCAGCTTTTGACTTTCAGCCCATGTAGCCTGTGGGCCAGCCTGGAGATGCATCTTGAGCACACAGATGAGGCCTTGCTGTCCAGGGCTAGAAAATAGGCATTGTGGGGGCAGACGTTGGCATGTTGGCAGGGGCCTGTTGGTGCCCAGAGCACATTCTGGATCCGCCTGTTGGGGTATAGGGTGGGGCTGCTTTTCTTTCTGGAGGAGGGGCCAACTCAGTCAGACTGAGCAAGGTGAGGGGGGCAGGCTGGAGGAACTATAGATAGTCCAGGGGGCCTGGGGCACAGGGAACTGTTGGGATGTGGGAGAGGGGAAGCCCAGAGGCCAATGGCAGCAGCCCCACCAGGGCCTGGGAGGCCGGGTGAGGAGCTGAGACACTGGAAGCCAGAGGAAAGTCACAGAAGGATGGTCAGCAGGGCAGTGACACAGTCAGATTTAGGTTTCTGAAGACAGGTCTGAGGGACTCGGGAAGGGAGTTCCGATGACCACGGGTCTCCCGGCAGCTCTCCCCACCTGGTGCAGGTGCGGGAGCGGATCCGCATCAATGGGCAGCCCATAAGCCCTGAGCTCTTCACCAAGCATTTCTGGCACCTCTACCACCGGCTGGAGGAGACCAAGGTGCGCATGCAGGAGGGCTGGTGGGTGTGCAGGGTAGGGGGCGCTGGAGGGACCCAGAGGAGGCTCCACATCTTCGGACCCAACCTCCCCAGAGCAGAGGTGACAGGGCTTGGGCCCTGACACGTTCTTGTCCGCAGGACAGCAATAGCTGTGTCTCCATGCCAGCCTACTTCCGCTTCCTCACACTCATGGCCTTCCACATCTTCCTCCAGGAGAAGGTACGAGTGCACTCCCCCAAAGTCCTGTGTCTGAGAGGCCTCAGGGAGGGAAAGCTCAGCTGGCTGGGTGCTCGAGGCCCCTGATGTCCCTCTGGTTCTCTGCAGGTAGACCTGGCAGTGGTGGAAGTGGGCATTGGTGGTGCTTATGACTGCACCAACATCATCAGGTGAGGACAGCTGTGCGGGGAGAAGGATGGTGGCCATGAGCCGAGGGCAGTGCCATCATGGCTCTCCTGTCTTCTGCAGGAAGCCTGTGGTGTGTGGTATCTCCTCTCTTGGCCTTGACCACACCAGCCTTCTGGGGGACACAGTGGAGGAGATCGCATGGCAGAAAGGGGGCATCTTCAAGGTACCAGGCAGCGCAGGGCAGAGGAGGTCCACGGATGGCCTGGGCCTGCACCTCAAGGCTCAGGGAAGTGGGGCAGGGGCATCTGTTTCCTGACTCAGGATAAGGTCTAGGGCGTCAGTGGGGCCTGGGTTCTTGTCTCAGTGGTGTGTGTGGAGCAAGAGCCACCTCCCCTCCCCTCGGGTGGGAGGCTAAGTGAACTGCCCAGACCCAGGGACAGAGGACCTTCAGCAGCCTGTCTCCCTCCCTCCTTCCCTCTCCTCCCCTCCCCAGCATGGCGTCCCTGCCTTCACGGTGCTCCAGCCTGACGGTCCCCTGGCAGTGCTGCAGGACCGTGCCCAGAAGATCTCAGTGAGTCTGGCCGCACTGGGGCGGGGGTGGCAGCTGGCTGGGGAGACACGTCATCCTTTGGGGTCTCACTTTTGCCCATTTGCACAGTGAGGGATAACTGTTCCTCCAGCTGGAGCACATTTTTGTTCTGGGAGCGGGGTTTGGTGGGTTCTGGTCAATGTGGAAAGATGGAAGGAGCCACAGCGTCAGGGAGGGCTTCTTCGCCAAGATGCTGGCAATGGCAGCTCCCTGACCAGCTGTCACCTGTCTCCTTGGCAGTGTCCTCTCTACCTGTGCCCACCGCTGGAAGCCCTGGAGGAAGGGGGGCCGCCACTGACCCTGGGCCTGGAGGGAGAGCACCAGCGGTCCAATGCCGCCTTAGCCTTGCAGCTGGCTCGCTGCTGGCTGCAGCAAAAGGACCACCAAGGTAAATGGGCGGATGGGTGGGGAGGGGGCATGTGGAGCCTGCCTTGGAAGGTCCCGTGCACACTCCGACCACACAGGTCCCTCCTTCCTCCCTCCTCAGGCCTTGGGGAGCTAAAGGTGTCTCGGCCCAGTGTCCTGTGGCAGATGCCCCTGGCACCCGTGTTCCAGCCCACGTCCCACATGCGGCATGGTGAGTTGGACCTTCTGCCCAGTCAGGCCCCTTCACATGTAGCATGTCCTGTTTGAGAGGTGGGAGCAGTTTGAGACGGTGCCCACAACAAAAGGCTCTGAAGTCAGTAAGCTTCCTTGACTGAGTTCATGACTCTGAGCCGAATGGGGTGATGACAGGACCCACCGTGAGGTGACATCACGAAGGGGCTGAGACCAGGGCCTGGTGGTTTGGGATATAATACCCAGTCAATGGTACTACTATCATCAGTGCTACTGTCATCCTTGTCATCATCATAAGACAGGTCTTAAGAATGGAGATATTGTCAGGCTTCTTGCCTCCCCCAAAGCTTTCAGCACATAGTAGGCACTCATAGCAGCTAAACCCCGTTTGCAGATGATTCCGGTGTGCTCACTGTGTGCCAGACCCCCAGTCAGGGCCATGACAGGAGCCAGGAGGATCTCGGATCACGTCCTGGCACACTTGCTCTGTGACCTAACCTCTCTGGGCTAAGGGCTCTCCGCCTACATGTAATATGGGACTAACATAGGATAGTTCCCTCTCAGGGCTGCTGGGAAGATTCCATCAGATGAGGCAGCCCAAGAGCTGATCGCAGTGACTGGCCCCCAAGAATAAGAGGCTCATCAGCTGAGAGGGCTCAGGGTGGGCGCCCCGAACAGCGGGCCCTGCTGGCAGGTTGTGTGTGTGAGTTTAGGGCTAGGGTGGGAGCTGGCTGCCTTGCCCCCTGCAGGGCTTCGGGACACGGAGTGGTTGGGCCGGACGCAGGTGCTGCGGCGCGGGCCCCTCACCTGGTACTTGGACGGTGCGCACACCGCCAGCAGCGTGCAGGCCTGCGTGCGCTGGTTCCGCCAGGCGCTGCATCGCAGCCGGGTGCCGAGGCGGTGAGCTCCGGGGGCGGGGGCGTGGGGGGCGGGACCTGGGTCAGGACTGGGCCGCAGGGAGGGGCGGAGGGGAAGGGAAGTTTCTGGAGGAAGGAGGGGGCGGGGCCCGCAGAGAAGGGCGGGAGGTACCACACTCTGACCGCCCTACGCCCCCAACCCTGCCCGTCTCCCAGCGGCCCTGAGGTGCGCGTCTTGCTTTTCAACTCCACCGGGGACCGGGATCCCGTGGCCCTGCTCAAGCTGCTGCAGGTGAGGGGCCAGCTGGAGGGTGGGTGGGAGGCCGACCAGCCCCGGTTCCGCAGGGTATAATGGAGGTGGATGGGCCGCCGAAGTGCCATGGCTGGGCTTAACAGCATCACTGCGGTTCAGCTGGGTGGGGGCATCTCCAGAGGTGGGTATGTGGGGGGAGGCAGGGGGCTGCTGGGTGCAAGTCAGGGTGGTGGGCCATCCTCTGGGGGCTCTGACACCAGTCTTTCCTCTTGGCCTTCTAGCCCTGTCAGTTTGACTATGCTGTTTTCTGCCCTAACCTGACAGAGGTGTCATCTGCTGGCAATGCAGGTAAGAGGTGACAGGTATGACCCCTGGGTAGGAGCAGGGGGTTGGAGGGTCCCTAAGTGGATTGCTCTGCTGGTGACAGTGGGGGTTTCCGAACTGGTCTGGGGTAGGAGCTAGACTTGTTTTATTGTACAGATATACAATGTTTGGTACGTTTTGGGTATTGTGACCACAGTACCAAAACATAATTACTGGGGGAAACCGTTTTCAAAATGCAGGCTGCAACCCACTGCTGGTTTCAAAATCAATTTAAAAATCAAATGCTAGGGATCCCTGGGTTGGCGCAGCGGTTTAGCACCTGCCTTTGGCCCAGGGCGTGATCCTGGAGACCTGGGATCGAATCCCACATTGGGCACTCTGCATGGGGCCTGCTTCTCCCTCTGCCTGTGTCTCTGCCTCTCTCTCTCTCTCTCTCTCTCTCTCTCTCGTGACTATCATGAATAAATAAATAAAAATCTTTAAAAAAATAAAAATAAATAAAAATCAAATGCTAGTGTAAACCAGCTTTTTTTTTAAAACTAGCATTTTTTTTAAATTTTATTTATTTATGATAGTCACACAGAGAGAGAGAGAGAGGGGCAGAGACACAGGCAGAGGGAGAAGCAGGCCCCATGCACCGGGAGCCCGACGTGGGATTTGATCCTGGGTCTCCAGGATCGCGCCCTGGGCCAAAGGCAGGCGTCAAACCGCTGCGCCACCCAGGGATCCCCTAAACTAGCATTTTTTAAACGACTCCGACAGCGGGAAAATGAGGAAGCCCTCTGGCTGTCTCTGTGTACCTTGCATGAAGGGTAGTTTTATGAAAAATCTGTCCCAGACATCTGTATACACCCGTATGAGTATTGAGTTGCCACGTAAGTGTTTTTTACTCTGGGTCATGTTCAAAACAAATTGAAATAGTGTAAAAAAAAAAAAAAATACAGATCCTGGGACGTCTGGGTGGCTCAGTGGTTGAGCATCTGCCTTCAGCTCAGGGCATGATCCTGGGATCTGGGATCGAGTACCAAATTGGGCTCCTTGCAGGAAGCCTGCTTCTCCCTCTGCCTGTGTCTCTGCCTCTCTTTCTCTGTGTCTCTCACAAATAAATAAAAAAAATCTTAAAAAAATACAGATCCTCAGGTTCCACATCAGACTGCTGGGGAGAATCTAGGAATTCGCATTTCTACTTACGCCCACCCAGGTGCTGGACCCTGCTTTACCTTTGGAGGCAGTGAGGCTAGGGTGGGGAGCTGTGCTCAGTGGGCAAAAGCCCCAGCTCTGAAGCTAAACCACCTGGCCTTGCTTCCCCCAGCTCCAGGATCAGGGGCAGGTCACCATCTGCATCTTTGTTTCCTCCCAGCACTGCCCACTGTGAGGCCTGATGATGTGATCGTATGTGTAAAGGAAGGGCCTGGCTTTAGGCAGGTGCTCAGCATGCCTCCTGTGCCCCCCACCCCTGTTCCTCTTGCTCATGTGCCCATCCTTGTACCCGGCAGACCAGCAGAACTTCATGGTGACCCTGGACCAGGTGTTGCTCCGCTGCCTTGCACACCAACAGCACTGGAGCCACCTGAATGAGGAGCATGCCAGCCCCAACCTCTGGAGCCCCACCAGCCTGGAGCCTGGTGAGCCCACCTCCTTGCTGCTGGCTTCCCACCAACCCCACACCCATAGCACCAGCTCCCTCGTCTTCAGCTGCATCTCCCACGCCCTGCAGTGGATCAGCCAAGGCCGGGACCCTGTCTTTCAGCCACCCAGTCCCCCACAGGGCCTCCTTGCCCACCCTGTGGCAGGCAGTGGGGCCAGCCTGCTCCGCGACGCTGTAGCCATCCACGTACTGGTCACAGGCAGCCTGCATCTAGTGGGCGGTGTCCTCAAGCTGCTGGAGCCTGCCCTGTCCCAGTAGCCTGGGCAGTGGGACTGGAAGTGGGGGTCTCCCATACCTGCCTTGCATCTCTCCATGAACTCCTGTTAGGTGCCTTTTGTTGTCTGCTTTTCTGATTCTGTCTAGACTGGCCCAGGGGCCCGGGTTCTGGGCAGCAAGATTGAGGGCTGGAGAGGGGAGGCCAAGATGGGACCACCTCTGTCTCTGAGCCTAGGGTGCTTTTGGCCTCCCCTTCCTCCTGGCTGAGACAGCCAGAGGGCTTCCTCTTCCTCGTTCTCCCGCTGTTGGAGTCCACCTGACTATGCAGCTCACCTCCCTTCCCATCCTGCCTGCCTCCTGGCTTGGGCCCAGCTCACAATGTGAGCGACCTGGCCAGCCTAGGGTTCTGCTGGGTGCTGGGTGGTAGATTACCTCCTAGTGGCCCACAAGAGATGGCGGATGGTTGGAACCAATTAAAGCCTTTAACGAAAAAAAAAAAAAGTTTGATCGACTCTTGATCCCTAGCGCCCCTAGCACAAGGTAGGGGCCTGAGGGCTGCAGCTGGCACAGGAACTGGACTCGGTGGGAGCCCCTCCTCCCAAGTCTCAGGAGGCCTGTCTGAAATGAGAACCGTGGACTAATGTCTGTTGGCCTCAGGCCAGGCATTGCTTTGTAGACCTCCCCACAGAGACCTTGTTCCGACTGAGGCAACTGGCTGGTTTCAAGAAGCCATGGAACCTGCCCACAGTCACACAGCCAATTATGCAGCAGCTGCAGGATTTGAACCCAGAGCTGTCACCTCCCCACCCATTTTAGGCTTCCCATTCTTTCTTCTGGCCCAGCCCAGCACTGATTTCATGGTCTGATTTATTGGTGGTGAGTATATAGGGGTGGGTCCAGGCCAGACAGGCCACTTCCCAGCTGATGCCTGCTTTGGGGTCTCCATGTGACAGTTGTAGAGGAGCTAGGCTCCCCTGTTCTCAGGCTGGGCACCCGTAGGCTTCTGTTTCCCTTGCCAAAGTCGTGCCAGTCCAGGTGTGAAGGCCGCGGGGAGCAGGTCCAGAGGGTTCTGGACTAGCCTTCTTCTGTTTCCTTGGAGGAGGCCTGGGTGGGCTGGGTGAGTCTGTTTTGAATTCTCCCCTCCCACCCAGCCCAGGTCACCAAGTGCTGGATCCAGGTTAAAATGACAAGGACTTGGTTTCTACAATAGTGTGGACTTATAGGGCAGTGGTCTCTCTCTCCGTGGTCCTGGGCAGTCATATTCCAGGCCCACTGGGTTTGCAGGTTCTAGGGGGTGGGGTGGGGGGACCCCAAGGTGTTCCAAACTGGTGCCCCCGCTGGCAGCAGGCCTCTGAGAGGGAGGCAGGAGGGGTGGGCGCAGAGGGCATGGTCCATCCTTGGTCGAGTGGAGGGGTTGGGGTCCCGGGATAAGTTCATGGCCAGTGGTTCCCAGCTGGTGGCTGCTCAGTCTCTCCTGCTGGGCGAGGGCTGGCTGGGGGGCCCCCAGGTCTCCGGGCCGGGTGCTACGCCATGCTGCTGGTGGAGCAGGGGGTGCTCTGGGTGCTCCCGATGCTGTGGTTGGTGCTACTGCTCTCTGAGGAGGCCGGGGCAGCCACCGCCACCACGGGCTCCCGCTTGCCAGGGGGACCTGGGGGCAGGGGCGGAGGTCAGGGCCCCGGCCAGGGCTCCCCACTCCCCCTGAGGCTCCCCCTGGCTCCCCCAGGTGATGGTGGCAGAGGGGTCCTGAGCACTCATTGTGGGGGCCTGGGATACTCACGCGTGTGCGAGTAGATGTACCAGAGTGCAGCAGTGAGCAGGGCCCCAATGAGGAAGGCGCCAAAGGTGATACCCAGCACAGCGGGCAGGACGAGGCCTTTGTCTAAGCATGCAACGGAAGGATGGCTGTGGTCAGTGCTGTGGCTCTTCCCTATCACCCTACTGTGTGGTACTGGCCAGGAGCACAGGTTTGGGCATCAATCCCAGCTCAGCCACTGACCCTGACTTCTCTGGACCTCAGTCTCTTCTCATCAGGCAAATGGACTCATCACACCCAGGCCTGGCACTAAGCCATGGCTGTTCTGACCATATACCTAGAAAGCCCTATCAGGCTTTTGGGCCATGCGTCTGCCTTCCAAGGCTGATGGAGCTGCATTTTTAGGGAAAATGGATGGTGTAATCTGAGCCAAGTGAGGGGGCCTGGGAGTGCAGAGCCTGCCCCACCCCACTGTGTGACCTTAGGTCAATCCCTGCCCCTCTCTGAGCCCTATACTATGGTAAGAATGGCCAGAGTATTTCTGAGGGCTCTTCAGATCTGCTTGCTCTTGGGTTTTCCCAAGCCTTGTTCTGTCCACACTCCTGACTCCTGGGTGACTATTGGCCTCCCCTTGGATACTGAGTTTCCATCTATGCTGTGGGGTAATTAGCCGTGCTCTCTTGGTCATGGGCTGGGGTTGGGAGCTCCATTCTGACCCAAGTAGGGTGGCTAGGAAGCAGGTACCCCTCAGCTTCTGCCCCCAATGTCAGTGACCTTTTCTGCTTTGTGGGGGCCCAGGCCCAGAGGGAATAAACGAGGAGGCTAGAGAGTGCTGGACTGAGGGGCCCCCTCCACACTGGAGGCCTTAAGAAGGTGAGGCCAGCCCTGCTGCAACATGCCTTCTGCCTCATTTGATTTCAGGATGCCCCTTCCCCCAACCAAGCAAGGTCAGCTGGCAACTATGGGAATTAGAGAAACTTAAATGCCTGGGATCTGGTCCATGCGGTAGTCAAGTACAAAGGCTATCTAGCAGATACAGCACAGATCCTATGCTAGGCTGCAAGGGGGCCCTTCTGCCCCTCCTTCCAGAGTTGCTCTCTTTGGGGTCCTTCCTGCATGTGTCTATGCTGCACCCCTCTGGGCTATCCATCAGGTCCCATGTTGGCCTCAGCCAGTGGAACCCTAGAGAGACTCACCAGGCAGGCCAGGGCTGACAATGTTCAGACGCATGGAGATAGTTCTGTGGGTTTCCTGGGGGAGGAAAAGAGAGGTGGATAGCATAGCCTGCAGGAGGCAGCTTCTGGGCTTATTCCCTGGCTCAGTGACCCTGGCCTGTCACCAGCCACCTTGGGGCTGTGGCTTTGGGTCCCATCCTACCATTTTCTAGCTAAGAGCCTGTGGGCAGGTCCTGGGAGATCTGTGCTCAGAGAAGGGTGTTGGGTGGACAACCTTTGGCTGCTACTAGGATGTTCCCTGGGAGGTGCCCGAATCCCACGAGGATTGCGGAGGCACCCTGCACTGCATCTGTGACCTTTGTGAACACCTGGGAGAGAGGAGCCAGGTTAGCCAGAGACCTGTGCTCATGGAGGGTAGTGGGGGAGAGGCCAACTCAGAAATGGCCACAAACACTTTCCTAGCTTCATACAATCAGAGAAGTTTCCAATCCTGAAGACCCTTCTGTATGCCAGGACCTGAGGATAGGTATGTCTAGGGCTGTGTGCCTGAGGATGGGAATCTCCACTGGATGGTGAAGAACAAAATCAGAACTCGGTGTCCTTTATCTTAACCATCTTCACTGAGATTTCCTGTTTAATGCAGTGACATTGGTGACTACTATGTGGAAAGATGGGGGAGTGTGTGGATTCCTTGGTGGATGGATCAATGGATGAGTGGGTGGGATGGTAAGAGCCTGACTGGCTGACTGAGATGGTTGGAAGGACTATGGATGAGTGAATGACTTGGTGGGATGGTGAGAAGTATCACGTAATGAATGGATGACTGGTTGGGAAAGTGGGATGAAGGGTAGATGGCTGGGTAGGATGGTGGAAAGATGGATGGATGGATAGTGAGAGGATGGGTGGTGGGGGATGAGTGGAAGAATGGATAGATGGAAGAAAAGGAAGGGGATGGATGGGAGGAAAGTATGGTGGAAGAATGAAGGAAGGATGGAAGAATGCATGGATGGAAGATGGATAGATGAAAGGAAGGATGGGTGGATGGATGCAAAGGATGAATGGACGGTGGAAGGATGAGTGGGTGGAAGGATGGATAGATAAAAGAAAGAGAAGATGGAAGATGAAAAGTGGATGGGTAGAAGACACAAATGGAAAGATGGGTAGATGGTTGGCAGACGAATTGATGGATGGTAGATGAATGGATGGATGGAAGGAAGGGTAGGTGGATGATAAGTGGTTGGGAAGAAAGATGGATGGAAGAAAGAAAAGGAAGAATGAATAGATGAATGGATTGAAGAAAAAGGAATGAAGGATAGATGAGAGGATTGATGGAAGCACGAAGGAAGGAATGATGGACACAGCTGCAAATCCTACTAATGTTCCATACTCAGCAGAGCTATCAGAAGACTGTAGGGTGGCAGAAGGAGTAGCCGTGGTAGGCAGAAGTCCTACACCAATCTGTGGTTCTTCTGCCCCTTGCCAGTTGGCCCCACATCATGGGCTGTCCTACCCCTTCCTGGAAACTCTAGACCTGAAGCCACCCTTGAAGCTGGGGCCCCACTCACCGGTGACAGACTCCTCGAACGCAGGGCTATGGTGCAGGTAAGGGTGCCAGTTGTGGGTGTGGGCACCATGTAGCCACGGAGGAGGAAGCTGAAGCGCACATCACCACCAGGGCCTGGGGACAGTAGGCTTACACAGCTGCCCTTGGCTGTCTGGCTCTGGATGAGTTCCACGGTGTCTCCCTCAGGCCCCAAATCCAGTTGGCAGCTGTCCAGCTGGAGCGTGAGCTCTGGGATCGATGGGGTCATGCTCACCTGTGTGGGTAGGTAAGAGTGACGAGGCATGGTCAGTTACTCAATGCTCCCCTCGTGGAAGAAGCTAGATTCATTCAGGAGCTCCATCCTGGCAGTGGAAGGACAGTCCATGGTCTTCTTAGAGCAGATGAGGAGGAGGGGACATTCCACCCAGTGCCTGACTGCTGTGTCTCCCCGCCGCCCTGCACCCTGCTGGGGAGTTAACTGCACACCTTCTCTGTACTGATGGTGGAAAGAAAGGCTCTGAGAACCCCAGGGGCGGGCAGGCCTGAGCGGGCAAGTCCAGTACCTGCACAAAGCCCTGCTGCCCCAGCTCGATGGTGTTGGAGGCCTGGAGGAAGTGTGGGCTGAGGTACAGGCCCAGCTGGAAGGAGAGGCTCTCCATGTTGATGCAGTGAACCTTCTTCTGTGGGAGATAGGAGGGGGGCTTGGTCAGTCTGGGAGGCTCCAGGCTAGGAATATTAAGGGGTGGGGGTAGGAACACTAGCCACAGTCCTGACTTGCTGCTTGGCCAACCCTCGTTAGCACCTTTTTAAAAAAGACAAAGCTAACGTTTATCAGGAACTTGCTCTGGGCCAGGCCTGGGTGAATGTTCTTCTATGTGTCATGTGAGTGACTGCTCATAAGCACCCTCACGAGGGAGATCTCTTATGCCCCTGTTTACAGACATGACCTTCGGTCCAGGAAGCTTAACAGATTTGCACAAGGCCACACAGCCAGTATATACTACAACTTTCTGACTTGAAAGGCTGAGGACAGAACCCTAAACAGTACTGCTTCCATTGTACAGAAGGGGAGACTGAGGCATACTGAAGGTAATAACATGGCTTGTAGCATCAGGGCCTGAGTTTCCTGAGCCCTGCTCCCCTCTCAGGCCAGGAAAGGGCGCCAGGACCCTGAACCAGATGGGTTAGCATGGTAACCATCCATCTCACCCACTGCAGTGAAGAGCTTGAGAAGAGGTTGACGACCACCTGCAGGAAA